AATAGCTATTCTAGGCATCTAATGGGAGGGAGAGGGAAGGTATTAGATACCCCTCTCCCTTGACTTGTGTAGAATGCCATTCCAACTAATTCTTGGAGAAAACCTCATAATTTCATAGAAAAAACAATATTCATGATTGAATTGCAAAAATTAAAGATTGATTCTCATGGACCTTTCAAAATCTCCCTTTGAAGTAAAGTGAGGTAGGGATCTCCACCCCCCTCTTTTTTATTCAAAGGGATCTTCTACAAGTAACATCTCTTTTGGAACCCCTAGAGAGAAGCATAGTAATTGGGAGATCTCCTAATTCTTTTTTATCCTCTCATAGGTTTCCTACTAGTAGATGTCTCTTGAGAATTAATCCTTAATTCCTCTGATTTCGCGTGATCTGGCTCCCAGATGGACAGCAGACAGAACCTGCAAGGATATCAGAGAATCTGGGGGTGCTAACCCGGTGAGGTCGCTCCGATGCTTAAGTTAGTAGGCTAGTAGCGAGCTAAGATTGCTTGAAAGTAGAGAGCTTGAGAGCAGGAAATCATGCATACCTTTCACCTTCGGGGGGTGGAGCCTTTATATAGTGGAGTCTTTGCGGGTTTTGCGGAGTAGTTCCGGGATCCTCGTCACGATGAGGTCCGTTTCCGCATTAATTGGGGATAGTGCTGCCAACTGATAAGGTTCACCAGTTCCACCCAAATCGAACGGGGGAGATAATGCTAGCTGTTACGAGGCGTGATCCCGTGAGGCGCTGAATCTGGTGGTGAGATCTTTGGGATTGCCATGCAGTGGTCGGTCAGTATTACCCGAGCTAGTGCTCTTTAGGTCCGACCTGGTATGAATGCCGAAGTGCCTTGGGACCGAGGCGGTCTTGAACTGAGGTGAACTCGTCCTAAGGTGGACCTGTTTCGAGGTGGTTTGGTTATCTGAGCTCGATCCCTTGCAGACTTGGTGCGTCGGGCTGAGCTGTCATCCTACTAGTTGGGTCGTGTCCATGTGTCCCCTTATTACTAGGTCGGGCCAAATCACCCTACATCAATTGCCCCCACTCCCCGAGCCAGGGGTCCCGGCCCGGTGCGGGGAGTTCATGATGAGCCAAGTGAAATTGGTCTAAAGTTCAGGCAGCTAGTTAGATGAATCACTGGTCGGACTTGTTCGGCCACTCGGATCAACCAGGAAAAACCCAGGTCACGTCTAGTCTACGTGTGGACGTCACGCGATCTATAAACTCTGTAGATGTCAAAAAACGCTCTAAACCGATTTCACCCTCGGGGGTCGTGTAGCCGGTTTTCCTAGGAGCGATTGGATTGCTTCGATCTTGATCGTTAGTTTTCGGACATAGCGGCTATTAATAGAGGGGCCCGAGACTCATTTTCCGTGCCACAAATTTGCAAGTCTTCGTTCTGAGGTCACGTCGGAATCCTTCAACTCGCTACCTTCTTCATTTTTCGAGGTCACTTTTCTCTTGGTGAGTTCGTGTTTTCCTAAGTTTGTTCTTCCTTTGTTTTTAATCATGTCTAGCTCTAGCATAGATAGGCTCTTAGGTAACTCTAGTGAGGTCGAGGGCGTCGAGGTGCAATCCGCAGCCCCTGCTAGGGAGGTCAGCTCGTCGTTGGGCGACTCCCCTCTTCGGTCTTTGGAGGGAACTTCGGTGCCCGAAGTTGAGCCATCTCGGCTCGGGGTGACCGAGGTTCGGGAAGAGGGACCATCCTCTTGGATATTGAGCTCAGATTAAGCCATCCTTGGGCTCGCTATCGTAGCTTAGCCCACGGCACAGCATGAGCCCACATGAGCTTGGGCTGTATCCGTATCCATAATTTCTAATAATCTCTTAAAATTGCGTTAATTTCTGACAAAATTGCTTTTCCGATACATTAGCGTTTCCGATAATTTGAACATTGGGTCGAGGGTTCATCGGTGAAGCCGTGAAGGTATGTTTTAGGGTTGAAAGTCGTAACTTCGAACTTCGGAGGTTTCTCCGCCATTCTCAGACTCTCCATCACAGTGAGGTTAGACATAGGGTTCGAAGGTTTTTCTCCAACCTTTCACCTCTGCCGTTCTCAGTGAGGTTAGATGTTTGGTGTTGCTTTGTTTGAAGGTTTCGCCTCAGACATTGCTCCGCCTCTCCGTCGCCTCAAACGTTTTGTTCATTCTCCCTTTGGATCGACAGAAGAGGTAATCCAGGGTTCTTACTTCTGTCTGGTTCAGATTCCTTAATTTGTTCTTTATTAAAATTAATAACCTCCGACATTATACTGTAGATTGTTTCTACTGGTGATTCCTTATATTTTTTCTTTAAGCTCTTTCTGTAAATATGATGGCAAAGCGATGTACCAATTGTGATGCACTAGGGCCCTCTTGCACTGGAATTACTGATTACTTTGTTTAATTTTCTGATAACCTATTTTGGTGTAAATGCAATTTGAGTTGAACTTATACATGCATTTTAAATTGTTGATGCATCAATAGTCAAAAGACTCAACTTGTTGACGCTTTCTTTTCATTTCCTTAAAGGTTTCCACTTAATCTTCCTGATGTTCCTTTGCTATTCAACTATCACCTACGTGTAACAGAAACATCTTTTTTTTTTTCTCGATAAGTAGGTGTAATATCATAGAATACAACACTAGGATATAATATCTACTAATAATGCTTGATTGAAAGTGGTATTGACATTTAGGCAGCATGGTGAACTACAACCTTGAAACTCTATGTTAAGGAAAAGATGAAGATCATATTGTATCTAAAAGTTATGCATTTTCTACAATTTTCTGTTTTTTTTTTTTTTTGCATTTTCAGCAATTTTCTCCATTTTCTGCATTTTCTACAAATTTCATGCATTTTCTGTAAAATTTCTGTAATTTCCAAGCATGTGAGTTTATGTCACCCGTATCTGCCATGTCGCAGTCATGAAAAAGGATGAATAGTTCTCTTAGATTTGATTTTTGGGTTTATAGGTTGACCTGATCCAGAAGAAAATTGGAAACAAGAATTTATACTTGCTGAGGGTCAGGGTGGGTTGTGACCTATTAACAAGCTTTTATAGTGGGTCATAGTGGGAATTGATATGGGTGGGTTGGTATTCAACCCTCCAAAAAATCTGCCCATTTGCTACCACTAAATGAAAGCTAGATTATGGCTGTTGGGTAGGTGAGTCAAGGAGATCTTCAATCCATAGCAAGCAACTACTTTGAAAATCTTTTCTTTGAATCTTGTTAGTGCAGGTCTCTTCCCAGTGAGGTTTCCTTTAAAAGATTGAGTGAGGACCAAAAGCGAGAGTCATAGAAGCTGTTTAGTATGATGTTTGGTAGGTGGTGAAGTCCTTGGATGGGGATAAGGCCCTTGGGTCAGATGCTTTCACAAGTTTGTTTTATAAGAAGTATTGGGTATGATTAAAGAGATGTTATGAAGGGAATGGAAGACTTCTATGGAGATGCTTCTTTTGAATGGAGTTTTAATGTATCCTTCATTACCCTTATCCCTAAAATGAAAGAGTGATAGAGGTGAAGGATTATAGGCATATCAGCTTACTACACAGTGATTTAAAAGGCGTGCTTGAGGCACACCTAGGTGCACAGGTGAGGCACATTTTAGGGTAGGCGCCTCGCCCAGGTCCTAGGCGCACGCCTGGTGTGCCTTGCGCCTTAGCCCAGGCCCTAGGCGCACGCCTGGTGTGCCTTGCGCCTTAGCCCAGGTGTGCGCCTTTTGAAAATTTGACGCTTTTCCTTTTTTTGAGTCTAGCGGCTGGGCTGGGGCCACACTCCTCAAGGCCAGCCCAAACAATTCCATGTTAGGGTCTTAAATTCTTAGTTTTCACACAAAAAAATAATGATTTTTTAGTTTTAATTGCTTTTAAGAAGATATTTTATTAGGTTGAATGAATGGACGACATTGCCAAATAGGGGGTTCTCGAAGCTTCAGTGAGCGAGTGGCCTCGAGGGGCATGGTGCAAAGGCGGCTCGTAGAATTAGGAATGTAATACGTCACATTATCTACTTGATGTAATTGAGAAAAAAAGAGATTGTGGGTTTTATATGCTTGAAAATGTTTTATATGTTTGATTTCATTTTTAAATTCTCATTTGAATATGCTTTACTATTTTAATTTTAGATAGTAGGTTTTTTAAAACATTTATTTTAAAATTTAAGTTTATATTTTTATTAATATTGTGTTTTATAATTTTTTATCATTTTTTGAATTTCTTTGACATTTTTTTAATTTTTTAGCTTTTTTTTTTTTAAATTGTGCACCTTGCCTCAAAAAGGTGCACGCCTTGCCTTGCGCCTCAGGCGCAAAATGGCCCTTGCGCCTTTTTTGTGCCTTTCGCTTTTAAAACACTGACTATACAGCTCTTACAAAATAGTGGTCAAGGTGTTATCTCAAAGGATGAAAAAAGTGATGGGAGTGGTTATTTTGGGGCACCGGAATGCATTCATTCCAAGCAAGCAATGGTTGATAGTGTTTTGGTGGCAAATGAACTGATTGACTCCAAAAGGGAAGGTCTTCCAGGTAGGGCTGTCAATGAGTCAGTTTTGGCTCGGGACAAGGTGTAGCAGACCTGAACTGATTATTAATTGGGGCAAAATCATGAACCCAAAATTTTACTGGAGTTGACATATTCCCCAATGAGCACTACAAACACTGTGGAGTACAAGAGATAGCTTCAACAACATATTTCCATCTCCACTTCCATGGGTAGCAACATGAAGTTTTACTCGAATCAACATATTCCCCAATTGCTACCAGTACTATGCGGAATACAAGAGATAGTATCATAACATGATCTGAGAGGATATTTGATGATAAGGAAAGAGGCAGAGATGCTGTGATTGAAGTGATAATTATAAGGGTGGCCCATTGGGTGAAAACTCTGAAAATATTTGCAGATTTTAAGACAGAAGATTTCTTCAGATCATGGGGAACAATCACATATTTGGCTTCTAGAAGATCTATTGTAACTGAATTGTGGTCCCCTCCAGATGTCGGGTGGAAGAAACTAAACTTTGATGGGAGCTGTTTGGGAAACCTGGCCCATTGGGCATTGGTGGGGTAATAAGGGAGGAGAATGGAAACATCATTGCATGTTCTCCAGCCCTACCCAGTATGCTGATGTGGTGAATTCAGAATTGAAGGCAGCAGTGTTTGGTGTTGAGAAAGCTAAAGAGTTGGGGATTAACAGGTTGATTATTGAAGGGGACTCAAAAGGCGTTGTAAACTGGCTGAGAAAAGAGGAAGGAGCAATCTGGAGATTAAGGAATGAGTTCAGGTGCTTTAAGCAGGCTTCTAAAGACATGGAAATTCACATAAGATGGATTAGGAGGTCAGTTAATAGCATAGCTGATGGTCTAGCTAAGCAAGGAGTCGAAAGGCAATCTATGTTCTGGGCTACGTTGTGGCTGGTGGGATATCTCTTAGGTCCTTTTGGGGCTTGTTTGTAACTAATGAATTTTTTGTTGGGCTAAGCTTGGGCCTGTATTGTAATTAGTGGGGTTTAGGTGGACTTTAAGTCTACCCACAACTCCTTGTTGTACACATTCTGGTAATCTATTGAATATTTTTGTATTGCTGAGAACTCAGAATACCATCCCATTCCTAGTATGTTGATTTGGAAAACCCTAGTCCCCTCCCATATGACATTTTTGGTGTGGTCAGCTGCTCTGGGGAATGTCTTACTAGGGACAGCTTATCCATATGAGTTCTGATTGATCAAGGCTATGTTGTGTTATTGGTATCAGRAGACAAGTAGCCATCTKTTTCTGCATTGCYAGGTTGCAAGTCAGCTCTGGAATCATTTTTTCGAAGAAGCTATGCTGGCTGGTCTATGCCCAGTTCTGTTGCAGACTTGCTACAAGCTTGGCAGATTTGACTGGGCTTTGGTGACTGCAGCCATCTGTTGGACAATTTGTTCTGAAAAAAATGATAGAATCTTCAGGTCAAAGGAGAAGTCTGTAGAGGAGCTCATCAATTTTGCCGTGGGCAGAATCAGACTTGGGTCTCAAGTCTCATTCTCTAGTGTTGTTAATCAGAACTCCCTATTGTTATCTTTTTGTCATGCTGATCATGTTCTGTTGTGTCTGTTATGATGTAAGATGTGCAGCTTGTGTGGAGCTCTTTAGAGTAAAGACATAATTTTCAGCAGAAAGAGTAGATCTTTGGAGGAGGTAATAGATTGCATAAAAGTGAAGGTTGCAATTTGAGTAAAGACATTGAGCTTCCAAAACTTCACAGTCAATGATATTATAAGAACTTGGACTGAATTAGCATGATTCTCAAGAGATAAGGACTAAGGAGAGAATCAGAATATAATGGAAACCCCCAGAAGGCAACAGAGTAAAGTTGAATTTTGATGGGTTCTTTGGCTAATCTGGGTTTGGCAGGCATAGGAGGTGTACTCAGGGCCACTTGGCATTGCAAATTCGGTAAAGGCTTGATGGCTTTGTTACAAGGTCTGTGGTTAGCTGAGCAACTAGACCTTAGACAGCTAGAGGTGGAAGGGGATTCTAAAGTAATTATCTCTTGGGCAAGTTCAAGTGGGTGAGAAGAACTGCAAATGGGCTAGTTGATACCCATTGCTAAGCAAGGGGCGGCAAGTCAACAACTTTTTTGGACTTCATTGTAATCTACCCTTGGTTTTCTGGGTTTACATGTTGGTCATCATGTTGTAATCTCCAATATAATTAATTTAATTAAATTATCTTTGCCGATAAAAAAATCTGAATTCGATCCAAAGCCTGGATGTACAAGAGGTGAATTCGAATTTGACTCTGATCAAATTTATCGGATTTTGGATCCATGGATGTGCCATTCAGCAATTAAGGAATCACATTAGATTTCAAAAAAAAAGTGCAAAACTTCATTAGAGTATTACAGAACTTCTCATTCTTTTTCTGAAATGGAAGAAAACTAACCTTGCCTGTAATTTTCAGGGTTTGATGCATTTATAGAATACGGTCTAATGGTGGAACCAAAGTGAAAAACTGAACCTGAAATAGTTGGGACAAGGTTGAGGTGACGATGACAGTTAGAATGGTGGAACAAATGTAAAAACTGAATCTGAAATAATTAGAACAGGTTTCTTTGTTACTGATTAAGAAAAATTAGAACAGGAGGTGATGATTGGGAGTAGATCTATCTGCTATTGAGCCACTTGTACAAAAAAAGACAACTGAAATAAAGATTTTACCTTTGTTGTAAAGGGAGTTCAGTTTAAACAACCTCTTGCTGTAATCTTTTTCTTTTAAAATGTTTAATAAAATTCTTTGTTACTGATAAAAAAAAGATTGGTTTCAGGGTCGGTTCTGGTCTTGGCGGTTCCAGGATTGATTCCAACTTTCCAAGGTCTACCTATGGAACTTGTTCTTTCTTTGCCCCCTCCCCCCAGAAAAATATGGAACCTGTTCCTTAAATATATTACAAAACTAATCATTATAATTTAAAGGGTAAAATAACAAAACCTCCCCTGAAGTTTCTGACAATCATAAAAACCTCCCCTATAGTTTCGACAAAAGCCTCCCTTCCATCACCATGGAAAACGTTAGACTGATGCACCAGTTTTTTCCAAATATCCATTCTACCCTTTTATAAACGATTTTACATACAAAATTACTGAAATAATTCCATTTTAACTCAACAAAAATACATATTTCAGTAATTTTGTATGTAAAATTACTGAGATGATCGTTAAAGGAGGTTCTTATTGAGTTAAAATGGGGTTATTTCAGTAATTTTGTATGTAAAATAATTTATAAAAGGGTAGAATGGGTATTTGGAAAGAACTGGTGCATCAATCTAACGTTTCCATCTGGGACAGTGACGGAAGGGAGTTTTTGTTGAGTTTCTCAAAAGTTCAGGGGAGATATTTGTTAAAATGAAACTATAGGGGTGGTTTTTATGATTGTCAGAAACTTAAGGGGAGGTTTTTGTATTTTACCCTAATTTAAATTTTGTAAATATTTTCTCTTACAATTTATTATACACATTTAAATATTAAATTGAAGAAAAACAATCAAATCACTTAAGTGACTCAATGGTCAAGTGAAACCATGGTCTTTGTAACTATGAGTGTTTAGTTCAAACCTTCACATCCTCAAAGGATTTTTGAGATTTATTTCAAGGCAAGTTTGTCTCCAAGGTCAATTCCATCAAGGTCAACCAAGGCTGGTTCCACCAAGGCCAAGCAAGGCCAGTTCTCCAGGTCTATTTGAGTAGGGTAAATCCCTAGACCCTGGAATCAGCTTGGGTGGGGTTGGTTCCAAGAATTTAGAACCAGGCCCCACCCAAAATTTAGAATCAGGTCTATTTGAGGTCGGTTTTATTTGGTTCCAGGTAGAACCTACCCATTTGCTCACCCCTAGTTTTGGGTGAAACATACACGCTTTCTTGTGGGTGTTGGGTCAAAGGCCTGACCAAGTAGGTCAATGACAGGTTGCAAACATTGCTTGAAAGTCAACTAATCCATATAAATGGCTCTTTAACCTATATATGATCATAGCCGTGTCCCAACTATATGGGTCAGCAGTGTCAGCTATGGGATCCTGTTTCACCATTCCAGTTCTGTTTAGTGCCATATCCATCATTAAATTATGAGCACCCACATATGATTTGAAAACAAAATTAAGAAGGTTTCTTTCTCAATAGGTTATAAATATCTTAAACAAGTCATTCTAGTAAGAGTTTTTGAAACGAAAGTCAGCCCTTCGAAGAAAAAAAAATTAAACTAATAATTGGCAATGTAGAGAACATAGTTTTCAAGGCAATGCCTAGGTGACAAGGCACCCTTGGAGGGCCACCTAATCGCCAAGTAGATTTATGCATAGTGTTATGAAATACTTTCATATTCTTAATTTTTTGAGATTGTAATTATTAAATAGACACTATTAAACTAAAATATTTATTTTGTGTGTTCATATAGTAGTTTTTTTTTATTATTTTCTTATTTGTTAGGGTTTAATCAGCACACACTTGCTAAATGCAGTTTTGAACCTTAAAAGACTTGAAAAACTTAACAAATAAAAAGTTCAGGTTTGGTACACACGTGCTAAATGCAGTTAGGAAGAACATAAAATTTTGTCTAATCAACTCATTTATTCTTCTTTTTGTATAACAAAAATTGGGGTTCAGCCCCTATATTTTCTGAATTTTCTTTTCTTTCTTTTTCTTCTCATGAATATGTTGATTTTCTATACTTTTAACATGAAGTTGATACTTATGAAAATTATGGGTAACTATTAAGGAAATATGATTGCTAGTTGCTATTGGAACCTAGGGAACTAGCCTAGGATATATGATTTTTATTTAAAAAAATCCATCACCTAGGCAACAAGGTGCCTCCCTGTCACCTAGTGCCATGAAAATTATGGTAGAGAACTAGGTCTTAATTAAATTGATTCGAATTACATGAATTGTATAAATCATAAGATTCACAGGTGAAATTGTAGGATTCAAACAATAATCATGAGATTTTTATAGAAAAAAATGATTTAGCTGTATGATTCAAATCTTTAATTGTATCACAAGTGTAAGATTTTGAGAACTTTGTATTCCCTTCAACATTTGAAAGTTGATTGCATTGAAATCTCTCATGACTTTGTATCCTTAGAAAGGATAATAAATGACAACATTTGTGTAGTAGGTATTTTAGGCTGTGAGCTAGAGAAGCATGGGCCGGAAAGCTGGAGGATTGTACATAAACCCCAAGAAATTTGGTAGTAAATTTGGGAGACCATGCATGAAGGAGATGATAACATTTCTCAATTGCTTGGCTCTTAACAAGAATGATGGTGACAAGTGTGTTAGGCACAAGGATCTCTTGATGGCCTGCATGGATACTCAGGTACCTACTAAATTTAATATATAACTGGTGCCAAGTGATTGTTCTCTTGTAACTGCAGCAAGCCGATGCTGATGTGGAACAAATTAATTACGCTAACGAATTTCTTTTGTGACTACAGACTGGCAAGGGCAGAAAGCCTTGGGGAAGCATCAATTACCACCTACAGAGGCTTAGCAGGGGAAGGAAGTAATTGGTGTTCCATTCAGCATATTTAACTACTTGAGTTATTCTTCTATTTGACATGAAAGGGGTTCATGGTTGCAATTTTTGTCTGTTTTTTTATCAATGTAGTCAGCAGAGTTTAGCCCTCTTTTATGACCAAAAAAAGAAAAAAATAATAAGAGATTAGTCCCCTTTGCTTGTAATGGAAGCACAAATTTATTTGATTTTTATTACTTCTAAATTAGTTCAATCGATGTAGTAAATTATGACTTGGTAAGCATTTGGTTGCAGTCAAGCTTCAAAATGTTGGCATAACAAAATTAAGACAAAAATTGGATATATTTTGATATGCTTTGGATAGCACGTAAGCTGGAAAAATATGGACATACTTGCTTCACAAATTCTATAAATATATTAAATCTAAAGTTGAAGTAATTGAAAGAATTGAATAAGGTAAAAATATATAACATGAAACAACCCATATGAGAGGAGTCCGTACAGGAATGTTGGGCCAGGCTAAAAACTTTATAAAACAACCCAGCCCATACAAACATAACTCAAAGTTCGGCCTTCATTCTGTGGAGAATTTGGAAGAGTCGAAATAGGAAAGATATTCGAAAGGAAGGATACCCCTAAAGAAATAATTATTAATAGTGCGTCTGATTATAAGCAAAATAGCACCAACACAGGGGAAAGAAGGTAGGACCAGGAGCACCTAGTACATCAGATGGATACCACCACTGGAGGGAGAGCTAAAGATCAACTTTGATGCGTCAAGAAGAGAATATGGATCGTGTGCAGTGGGAGTCATCGCCAGGAATACCATGGGTTTGATCAAGCTTGGAATGGCAAAGTCTGTTAGAAGGAGATTCAAAGCTTATTGTAGAAAGAAAGCTACACTTCCATGGAATCTAAAGAGTATTATTGAAGATTGCTATACAATTTGTGAAAGGAAAAGGCTTACAATTGAATATAGACACACTCTCAGAGAAGGCAACTACGCGGCAGATTATCTGGCTAAGGGTCACAGTCACCTAATCATATCAGGGAAAATCAAGGATCAGGAATTAGACTTGTTATGTTTTGCTGATACCTGGGGGAGACTCTCCTTGAGAGGATCCTAATTGTGTATTCACAATCACAACTTTACCAAAAAAATAAGTCTCGATGTGCAGAAGTTGTGTATCAGGAATTTCAACCAAACGATCTCTTGTTTCTTTCTTAGGGAAATTGTTTAAAACTCACCATGAGTTTTCAGCATTTCTCTTAAACTCACAACTTTTCAAAATGTCTAAAACTCACCATGTCAATCAGTTTTTATTTTCCAAAACTTGCCTTCCGTTAGTGCACCATTAATGTTTCTTAACAGAGGTGTCCATGTCAGCATAAATAACAATTTTTATGACCAAATCACCCTTGAATGATGAGTTAAAGGAAAAAGGTCTTTTTCATTCTTCATTTTTTTTTTACATTTTTAGTGTTTTGTTATAATTTCTAATATTTTTTATAATTTCTGTTTTTCATTTTTCTATTTTCTACCATCTATAAAATTTCCTGTATTTTTTGTTATTTATTTGCAATTTCTGTGTGTTTCTATAACTATTAGTGTTTTTTTACAACTTTTATGTTCTGATTTTGTTTTTCAATTTCTATAGTTTCACCCAATACTCAATATTAATCGATGTCCGTGAAAAATGACACCCATTTTATGATACACTGCTTCGTTTTAATATCAACCTTTGCATGACGAGTGCAGAAAAAGAAGCACTAGTTGCATGAAATTCCTATTTTTCCTTTTTGTTTTCACGGGGCCACAAAAAAGGGTAAGCATGTCCCCCCAACCCTGGAATTGTTTATACATTATTTTATTTCACTTATGTTATCCGTCTTAATTAATGACCTCATTAAACTTTCCTAATTAATAATTACCATTGTGGTATAAAAACTGCAAGCAATAATATTTGAACCCTAGTTATTATTTCACTTGTACACCATACTCTAATTGTTTGTCTATTTTGATTCTCAGCTGTTAATCTTTCCTTGGTGGATGTTTGTAACAAGTGTTAAAATTGATCATTACAAATTATATATTTATAAATATTAATATAAATTAGATATATTTTTTCTGAGAATAAAGTATATACATATACATTTTAGTTCATAAAGTAGTAGAGTTTCTCCACTAGAGAAAGTTGTGTTTTCTACTTTGCCATGATTGGAGTTTGTGTCTTACTCTATTATGGCCAGAGGCTTTCTGTTATGGTTAGGAGTGGTGTTTTCTAGTGATGGTGGGGGGATTAAACTACCCCAGTTAAACCACCACACGGATGCTGACATGGACCGGTGTGGACCTCGGATGAAGAGGGACACGTGGTGAACACCCAGTCAGAGCCCAACTTCCCTCACCCTTTGCTTCGTCTCTTGCATGAAGGGCATAAATCTGACCCTTGGATCCAGGGTCGAGACTGGCCTTGGGGTACAATGCGTATCCCTCAAAGCGAGGAGCACGACGACAATCCCCCATAAGTATTTAAGATCACACCACCCAATATACATTATGTTTTCCATCTCTGACATTCTAGCCCTCTAGTTCTCTTAAACTCTTCAGCTTGTTTGGCTATTACTAGCTTGGCCTAGGTGACCACTTCGTTCTCTTCACTGGCTTGAGCTTTAGAGTGCTCCTCCTTGAAAAACCACCTTGGGGCCTCTGACCTTTTGTACTCGTGGGTTGCTAAATTCAGTTCAACTCATCTAGTGTAATATGACATTTATCTATTGTTGGGATCACAAGCCGAGGACCATCACTTTGGTCGAGACAAAAAAAGGTTATAACGACGTTAGAACATGTCAAGAGGTCACCCACCAACCTTCTAAAACTTCACACCCCTCAACACAGCTCAAGCTAGGATCTTCATTCAAGTCAAACACTGGCGCTTCATCAAATAGCCTGAGAAGATGAAGTCCCAGAGAAATGAGAGGACTTGGGGGACAAGTAGTGTGAATTTCATCAGGACTATGACCACGACATGGAGGACTGCAGCGACTTTTGAAATCATGCTAAAGACCTTCTTTGACAGGGCTACCTTAGCAGGTACGTCATTGACTACCAACATCAATGCAAAACCAATTAAGCTTGTGCCGATGCACCTAACGACAATAGGGGAAGGCTCTTTGGCTTGGAAAGCCTATGCTTGGATGAACCAAGTTGAAGCCTAAGCACAAAAGTCCAAGGTGGACTCCCCCATCACGTTTACCGATAAGGATTTAGACGGAGTCTAGACGCCCCATGACGACACATTGGTGATCTTGATCAGCATCATCAACTATTAAAGTGCATCTATTCCTCGTTGAGATAGATAGTTCGGCTAACATAATCTTAAACGAGGCACTCTAGAGAGTGTAAATTGGGCAAAAGCACCTACAAACGATCAACAATCCCTTTGGTTAGTTTCTTTGGTGACACCATGAGGTTGGAGGGGAAGATTACCCCACTGCTCATAGCAGGGGAAGGACCTTTGAAGACAATACTGCTCATGGACTTCTTGGTGGTGAAGGTCTTGCACTGTACAACATCGTCCATGGTCACCCAATGTTGAACGCAATGAAGGCTCAATGTCTACGTACCACCTCGTAGCCAAGCACAACATCGGAAGTATCCGAGGTGATGAGCGCACTGCTCGACAATGCTATGTTGTAGCTTTAAAGGGGAAAATGGCCTTTTGAGAAGTCTTCAATGTCCTCTGCCAATACTTGATGAAGTTAAATCTCAGTGTGCATTTGGCCTGAGCCTGAATAAATTTACGAGATTCATGGTAACTCAAATAGGGATTGAGGCCAACCCAAAAAAAAATCGAGCCATCTTGGACATGCCATTTCCTTTAACCATTATGACATACAACACCTCACAAATCAAGTAGTCACGCTTAATAGGTTTATATTGAAATCCACAAACCAATGCCTACCCTTCTTCAAGGTTCTCAAGAAGGCAAAAGGGTTTCTTATTAACCAGTGAGTGCAAGCAAGCATTTTAACAGTTGAAGCAATACCTGTGCTCACCCCCTCTATTGACTAAGCTGAGCGGTGATCTATGCCTTAATCCAGTGCTGGAGTGTTCATTAGAAGATGTGTATGCCTCCTTTTGGATCATTATCAAAATCAACACGTTAGTTAAGAGTGTAGCTAGTCAAATAAATGGTTTTTGTTGGGTAGATTTTCTTTGATTTGCAAGGGAAGCACTCCTAAATGTTTGAGCCACTCCAACCTTAACCTTGTCTTGAGTTGTCGAACTTGTGTAGCTAGTGCTAATAAAAGTTGAGTTAAGGCCATCCAAAGCAATTTTTTTCTTACTGCTAGTAGCTGCAAAAGACCTTTTTCAGCCATTGACTAACTAATAGCTTCAAAATAAGTGTTACCCCGAGAGAGGTGGGAGAAAAGAGTGTCCTACCAGGTGTGACAGAAATTTATCACCACAAATTACGTTATAAATCCAAACACAAGAAAAGTGGAGAAAGATTCAAATAAATTAATTTCTTATATTTAAAGTACATGGGTTACAACTCTTTGTATTTCAACTCTCTTATAAAGGAGATGAGAAACCTCTGATTCTCTCTTGATGGTGCACTTCTTACAATTTGGAATTTTGTATTTAAGTTGAAGTCCAGGGTTGGTTGATGTGTTCCCATACTTCCAAGAATGAATACGATAAGTTCCTTCAATTGGGCTTTGAAAGCTTGATGAAAAGAAAGATTTTGTAGAAACTCCATGAGTGTTGTAGCTTTACTCTTGAGAAGATGATGTATATGTGACTCCCCTTTTCCAAGGGCCTTCTTTTTTTTTTTCTAAGTTTTTGACCAAAGGTCAGGTCCTCTCTCTCTTGATGGGAGACTGTTTATAGATTGCATGGTCTAATCTTCCCATGCCTTTGCTCTTGTTACCCTTTTCAAAGAGTTGTTACATTAACACTTATAAAGAGATAATTATTCTCTTAATCATCAACTAAATTTCCATATGTTTTTTAATTGACTAGAGATTTGATTGACCCCCCTTACCTTTTGGAGAGAAGAAGCTTGGCAAATTGCCATTTTATGGAGATAATGATTTTTAATCAATTATTTTCTCTTTAATACCAGTTGGATTTTCATCATTAGCATATAAGAAAGGCTTTAGTTGGATTTATTTCCATAAACCACCAAGACTTGAATTAATTTAAATTTACATTTGAATGTGATTTCATGGTGAACCCCACATGTATACCCTCCTCTTATGTTAGTGGACTTGTAGAAACAAGGCCCAAAAGGAAAAAACTCACACCAAGGCCCATACAAATTTGAGCTTATGGAATAGGGTCCAAACAGAAAGGACTCCTGCACTCAGGCCCATGAGCAAATTTAAGTCCAAGGAGGCAATGCCCATTTAAAAATTCCATAAAAATTTTATTGCCTATAACATTTTTTGCGGCTTACCAAACAACAATTTCGACCGTTAAAGTTGAATCACTGATATGGTTTTGATGTGGTGTTGTAACCAAACATCATTATTATATGACAGCCTTCTGAAGATCAATTAGGACCAAGAATCATGTGTATTTGTGGGCAACGTTCATGGTCGATATTTTGTACACTTTATCTTCCCCAGGGACTCGTGTAAGGATAAATTTGGAAGTGCTTAATTGAAAAATAAATACTCGCCAAGTTTGGTGAAAATACACTTATTGGTAGTATAGGTATTTTCAAAATGATATAGTGGGTCAAGACAGACTAAAAAGGAAATAAGTTGATTTGGTCTTGGCCCAAAATAAATATTTATTTGAATAAACACTTATTTTTAATTTTAAGTACTCTCACATTTAGCTTAAAAATGTTACAAAAACTATGGTGCTGAGAGACATATACAAGCCAATCGAGGATGGCTTAGTTAATATGTTACTTGGATTGTTCCAACGGATATGTGGATTCAAGTCCTGCTTCCACCGACTTTGGAGAAAAAAGTTAGTAGTATGTGTGTAATTCCAAAAAAAAAAAAAATACAAAGACATGATACAAAAAAGGCTTAGACCAATCAAAACCCACCCCCAAATGAATTTTGATAAAAAATAAAAATCCAAGCAATTGGTTACTAGACCTGTTCAATAAAAGTATTCACAACTGAAACAATATTCATATATCCAAGGATTTTTTATCAGAGCATGCAATAAATTTACACTTGAAAATTTTCTATAAAATTTGTAGATTCCAACTTTACAATATTATGATCAAGTTTTTAAACTAACCATGGCATCATGGAAGCACAATGGATCGTGAGAAAACTAGGCAATAGAAAACACAAGTTGAATCGCCTAGTTGTATGCAAGAAATATAGGGGAAAACAATGAAAAAATACAGAGTGAACTCGGCTTCAGTTAGTGCATTAGGAATATCTCCCAATGAAATAAAGTATTTAGGTACAGAAGTATTCTCAATGCAAAGCTGTAAAGACTGTTCGAACAATGTTTGAATGGACCTTGCACTGACTGAAACTGATCTCGAATTATACATACGATTTCAAATGACATCAAAGCAGAGTATTGTACCAGTAGTACAGAGAGCTGTTGGGGGTGAAATGACGGGGAAGAAGAAGAGATCATATCAGCCCCCCACAACGTCCCATAATACATTTCTATCATGTATTGGGAACATCTCCTGATAATAATACCAGAAATGATGATATCATCAGTAGAAAATGTTCCCAATACACGAGGGGGTGTACCGTGGGGGGCAATCTTATGGGGGGTTGATTTGAACTCCAAGAAAAATGAAGGGCTGCGGGGGTAGGGTGGGGTTTATTGATTGGTTTTATGATCAACACCAAATTTACATTTTTGCCCATATTTTCATAGTAACACGTGTTCGTTATTTTAAGCTTACATCGGCGAGAATCGAGATTCTGCAGTGTATTTTTTTCACTTCTCATAATTTTGCCTGTTCTTCCCATTTGGAATGAGAAACACTTCATAATTGTGTCCAAACGTGTTATCATCATCCTAAGAATCCAAAGTGATTATTTGGAGTGATGCCAAACAGCGCCAAAGAATCCGGATTCTCGCCCAGGTAAATACGTGTGGCATTCATCACACGTGAAAGCAGGCAGGGGTATAAGGGTATTACGGAAAAACCGCGCAAAAACAGGGCAGGGCCGGGCCGGGCTCGATTAAACCCTCCCTCATTTACTGTTTTCCTCTCTTTCCAGTTCCCAGTTCGCAGTCATTCCATCTTCCTCAACATTTCGCCCGACTGTAATATCACCTTCTCCGACGCCGTGGTGGTTGATCGCTCCGCAGGTACTCTTTATCTCTCTTTCGTTTTTCTTCTCATTCTCCCATCTAGCCATGTCAGTATATCCAAACACCATTTTCATGTTTTGTTTGATCTTTTCTCCAGAAAATACAGAGACCTTGTACCGTTCAATCATCTTACCGTTTACAGGTATGTGCCAAGTTTGTGTCCTTCACCATTCTTAACATTTGAATCGAGTTCTTTAATTAGGAAGTCGTTTTAGTTTTTTAAAGTCGTTTACAGTTCTTTACATATGTGCTTTATAAAACATCTTTTTATGAAGTACTGTCTCTGAAGTTTTATCTCAACATGCATAACCACTAAAGTGGGTTTTGATTATAGTTGAACTAGATGCTGAAA